AGCTCTATGGAGCAGTATCAGACTCATATTCTGACTAGAATTGAGTCGGACTACGCCAGGCTACAAAATTCTGATATTAAAGTCAGAATTCTGAAATTAAAGTCAGAATTCTAAGAAAAAGTCAGAATTCTGAGATTAAAGTCAGAATTTTGAGATTGAAGTCAGAATTTTTACATTAAAGTCAGAATTCTGAAATTAAAGTCATACTTTTGAGATTGAAGTCAGAATTTTGAGATTGAAGTCAGAATTCTGAGAAAAAGTCAAAATTCTGAGAAAAAAGTCAGAATTCTGAAATTAAAATCTGAATTCTGAGATTGATGTCAGAACTCTGAGAAAAAGTTAGAATTCTTAGATTAAAGTCAGAATTATGATATTAAGGTCAGAATTATGAGGAAAAAAGTAGGAAATATGAGGGAAAAAGTCAGAATTATGAGAAAAAGTCAAAATTCTGTAAAATCAGTTTACATTTTTTTTGTCCTTTTCAGAGAAAAAGACAAAAAAAAATCAAAGAAAAGCATATTTAGGGAAAAAAATAGAACACTGTCTTATTATCAACAAAATGTCCCTCTGGTAACTTTTCTGATGGTACAAACTTTTTTGTTTGTTTTAGTTGCTAACCATAATAATACAAACAAACAAGAACAAGAAAAAGTGTGCCCAGCACATGCGTACTGGCGCGTGCAGCACATGGACCACCCTCTGCAAGAGGAAAAAAAAGTTCAGGAAGTGAAAGAAAACATTCCTCGCGTGCTCCAGTAGACAGTTAAGGAGACGGAGCCCTAACAGGATGCTGTGGACGCGGTGAAACCAGGCTGCAGCTTTCATTATGATATCCTCGGATTAAAAAAGTAAGATATGCCGCCCGGGCTGTGCTTATCTGCGGCGGCAGCAGCTGGTGAAGCTCAGGCAGGCGCGGAGGGGGGAATTAGCCCGCGGTAACAGCTGGTTTAAAGAAGATGTGGGGATATCCCATTTAACTTTTAATAACACGGAGGTCAGAACCTCAGAATTTAGAGTTTATGTGTCTCTGCTGGGTTGTTGTGAAGTTTTATCTGAAGTAGAAAGTGTTGGAGTTCAGGTTAGCCCGGGTAGCCGCTAAGCTAGCAGATGTGTTCTTGGCTGCAGCACAACCTTCTCCCCTCTTGAATAAATCCGCGGAAAACAATAGACCCCTTCTGGCGTGGATCCATTATATATGTGACAATATGAAGGTTTTTTTTTTATGTAATGTCAAAAACGTGTATAGAGAAAAATCAGAGTGATTTTACAGAGTGAAAAAAGCTACAGGCTGTTATTCATTAATAGACTATTGAAGCTTAATTTAATTTGTGCGGTGGTGTAAAATCTGTTAAAGAAAAATAACTATTATGTCAGCTGGATCAAAGGAAACTGATTAATCAGTATTTCGATATAACAGCTGATGTTATGATGAGAAACAAGGTGGAAGGTGAAGAGATCAACTTTTTCTTGGCAGTTTCTAAGATCTTGAAAACAAAATGTTCTTTTTTAGGCATCAGTGAGCAGTCCTTCAACTTTCAACTTCATGCATTTAATTTCAATTTTAATTGTGTTACAAAGATCAAAGAGTTTTAGTAGAACTCTTCGCTTTATTTAAATCTACAGTTAACCATTAAAACTTTATCAGTTTTATTGATATTAACAGAGTACTTAGAATCAACAAATATTAAAATCAAATTACAGCTTTCATTATGGTCTTTTTAAATACTTTTTAATCTGCATTTTTTATTTATTTTTTTCTCCAGCAGCAAGCAAACACTTGCTTTTACGTTTTTACTTCTAAACTCTAAAGTTTGGATATATTTTTATATATTTTACCCAGTAGGAGACAGACATTTCTGTATTCTATTTCATCAATATTTTTTCTTGAGACTTAGATTTATTTAGTCATTTTGTATACACAAGTGTAAACAAAAATACATTTCATTTAGAACAGCTCTCTAGACATTTACATTTTTTAAAGTGCAGCCTTGATAAGGTAAGCAGCAGTGATGGAAAAAAAACAAAAACATTTTGATATTAATTACATATTTAAACACATTCTTTTAAAATTGGTAGCTTGTTCATATTCACTGTACATCTGGAAAGTATTCACAGTGCTGCAATTTCCATATTTGGTTATGTTGCAGCTTTAGACAGAACTAAATATTGTCTGCAGAATTTTGAGAATAAAAGCTGATTTAACACCACCTGGGACAAAGCTTTAATATAACCAGATTTAGGAAAAAGTACATTACATGTCGTCATTTAAGTCCACTGTGACCCTTTTAACTCTGACCCATAGATAATACAGACTTTATGGCAGATTTCTGTCTATGTGTGACAAGAAAACCAAATTCAAATCAGATCTTGTTTTTCTAGCAGCTTGTGAAAACAAAATGTTTGTTACTCCTCTGTTGAATTTGATCCTCTAATCGCAGCTATCAAATCCTTATCTATCCTTGTGGCCAAACAGCCGTCTTATTGGCTATAAATCAGTTTTTACATGTGAGCACAGCTCAATTTAAAAACAGTGACTAAATTACTGTCCTGTGGAAGGTAATACTAAAGGTTCCAGAATCTTTTCAGGTCTTGAATAAGACTCCACCTATTGATTATTTAAGTAATGGATTAATATATCTATAATTTTTTTTGAGAGATCTAAAAAGTAGGGTTGTCACGATACTAAACTTTTCAACTCGATACCGATACTAAGGAAAATATTCGATACTCGATAACATTTTCAATACCACAAGGATAAAAACAAAGACTCCAAAATTCAACAGAAATATTTTCATTAATAAATAAAATACAATAAACAATAAAAACAATATTTTGAGGTTGCATGCTGTGCACAATATTAAGCAAGCTTGATGAAAAACTTATAAAATTAAAATTAAGTGTTCCTTCCTTTGCTTTGCACACATAACAATGACACTAGCCAAACCGGTTAAGAAACAAAAATAATTCTCAGCAGCTGCACCTCTTACAAAAAAAAGTCTGAAACTGAAAAGTGCGTAGAATTATTCAATCACACAGTGTTCTGAAAGTGCATTTTCCTCTATTCTGCACTTTAAACGAGTATTGTATCCGGATACAGCGTTTCAGTATCGATGCTTTTTTGAGTATCGATACTTTAGACAACCCTTCTAAAAAGACACTTTTAGTAAATTAATATTTCTAAGTAAACAAACATTTAGAGTATAAAAAAAAAACAATATTTGTGGTGCATTTGAATGAAATTGCAAATGGCAGGATATGTAAAAGATATTTGTGCATATACATGTAATAATTTAGATGCATATGTATACTTTTATTTATAGTTATATAAAATTCAATCTGGGAGAGATTGCATATATATTTTATATTTAAAAATGTTTATTTTTCTTAACTTAACTGCTATAAGTAGCTTATTTTATAGCGCTATGCAGTTTTTTTGTTCTGTGTATCATTATTATTATATGGAAAAATGATTTTATTCAATTACCATTAGCTCAATAATAGATTAATTATCTCTGTGTCCCTGAATTAATTGTCTTAGTGTTCATACATTTTTCCAGTAATAATAACTAAAGCTGTTTAATCTGAGGATGACGGGTTGAATCAGATGGTTAATTAATACTTGGACACAGTTTGGCTTTCCGAGAGAACAGTTATCCTTTACGCAGACAAATGCAAAAGTATCTGTAGTTTTGTTATGGAAAATGCTGGGTTACTTTACGGCTTCAACCTTCACTCTGATTAAAAAAAAAAAAAAAAAATTGGGGGAAAGGGGGTAAAAAAAAAAAAAAAAAAATCTCACTGATGGGAATAAGATGAGTGTCTGGTGTGTCTGCAACCTGCTAGAAGACATTTGTCCAAACTTCTTTTATCTTTCTTTTCTCTAACCAGCAGCATGTAGACGTTTCACTCCAGAGATTTATTGTTTTCATGACCTTGAAACCTTAATGGTTCACTTTCCGTTGTGGCAGGACTTCACTATTACTGTTGTTTGGGGAAGTGCTTTCTCTAACTTGCTTGCATGGATCTGGTCGCTAACTTCAACTCTCTCTTCCCCTTCTCTTGGCAGGAAACTTGCTTTGCTAGAAAGTACATTTCTCATTTCCTTCAAAAGTTAGATGACCGAAATTCAGCATCTCTGTGATTGAATAATCTCTTTTTGTAAAATTGCAGTGATTTAGCAAATGCTATTAATTGCACAGCAGCTAAACATGACTGTCAAAAAATTCAACATGGGAAAAAAAACATGGATCTGTTTAGGGTATCCTTAGCAAACTTTTTGAGGCTTTCATTTAGTTTATATCAATGTGGAAATTGTACTGCAAAATAAAGATTCAATATCACCCAGCCCTAAATTCAGCCTGAATCCAATCCTGGTGAATTGATCCACCGTGATAGAAGCGCACCATCAGTTCATCATCAGTGGATGTATGCAAACCTCTCACCAAAGCTGTATATTGGAGGATTATGCATCTATCAGACCTTCTGTCCCTCTGAAAGCCTCCCTGTCCTTCAGATACGACCTTCAGACGCACAACTTGTCTGCTTAAGATATTTTTTTTTTTTGCCCTAAGCTTATTTATTTGATGCTCGAAACAACAATCTGTGACATTGTGGTCGACACAATTGGATTTAAAAAAGAGTGAAAAAGCTACTTATTCAGTCTGAAGGAAACTGAAAGGTTTTCCAACCAAAACCTCCTTCATTCATTAAAACTGTCCAATCAGTTTTAGAAAACTTTAGCTTTCTCCAAAAAGAGACACTTTAAGTCATGTTGTCTGATTATGAGGCCAGAGCAGACGAAATGACAGTAAGTTTTTCTAACTTCGTTAACAGAAGGCCCCCAGCGTTCGTCTCCTGCAGTATGCCTCCCTCTGAATGCCATCCTCCCTTATCTCAAAGTGTTTTTTTTTTTTTGCCCTCGCTCCTCTTTGGTCTGTAGTGGAGCCATGTGAGAGCGGAGAGGAGGAGACCATGGAGACGCTTGTTGCTGCTGACTCGCTCCTTAACATGGACTGCGTTGACACTCTCTCCCTGGAACAGCACTACTGTAAGCCCACACACTCTAAATCACTCCCTGCAGCTTTCTGATACACAAGTGGTTTGGCTGGGAGATGTTATTTTTAGATATGATGGTCACTGTGCTGTTCACTTTCATTAAATCTGTTTATGTCCCCCTGCAGCCCAGGCTTTCTTACCCTCTCTGAGCGATGTCATCACCGCTCCCGTTACCCAGGTAACCGTGTCCGCCGAGGGGGTTGTAGGAGCCATTGACCAGTCGCAGTGGTTGAACGGAGAAAGGCCCGCGGCGCAGCTGCAGTCTAAAAAGAGGGGTGAGTGTTTGTTTTTTTTTTACTGCAGGGTTTTGTATCTGGGAATTTGTGGCTCTATTGATTAAAAAAAAAATTAACTTTTTTTGTGTGTGAGCAGGTAAAAAAGCTCGACATCGGAGGGCAGAGTCTCCTACACCAGATATAAAAGTAAAAAAGGACAAATACAACAAAGGTATCTGAACACA